GTTTGTCTTTACCGACACTTGAACTTAAGATTTATTATTGATTCAATCTACTTCGTTATTCTTTTCTCCTATTTTCTTCGTTCTTTTATGTCGGACTATTTGAAGCTGGTAGTGAGAAGGAAGAATTAACGATTGACTAATAAAGAATAATTTTAAATAAAGAATTAATAATTTTACAGAAGATTGTGTAAAAAAATTTAATTTTCAAATATCAAACCAAACCATTTGTGTTAAAAAAATTAATTTATAAACCAGACCAAACTAATAAAATTTGGATTTTTTCGGGTTTTTCAACCTCGGGTTGGTTCGGGTTTTTCCAATACCAAACCAAACCATTGTGTCAAATTTTTAAATTTATAAATCAAACCAAACTAATAAACCTCGGATTTTTTCGATGAAGTTTGCATACAAACAGATAATTAACTTGTGCTCCAAATATTTCTTTAGTCCAACCAAAATACAATTATCTAAGGTGTTTCTTAAGAAAATAACACAAAATATGAGATGAGTACTGATAACACTAGAATATTCAATAAAAAAATAATAATGAAATCATCATATAAAATAAATATTGCAAAGTCATAATGAAAATGATCATAATTTAAAAGTACTAAATCATGCTAAAATAAGTTTAATAAGTATTAGTTACATTACTAAATATTTAAGGAAAATTAAAATTAGATTATATATTTTAATAGTCTAAATCAATGTAAAACTAAAGAACAAATATTCAATATTATTGTCATTCTTAGTATTGAATTGATTTTCTTTTTTGCATTAGTATTAATTTGATTTTGATTTAAGTTTTATTATAACTATCAACATCTAATCTTTATTGGACCATTTCGAATTCTAAGTTTTAAACTTGAAATAATCTATTAAAAAATAAAAAACTATGAAATAGTATAAGAAATATTTTAAAATTATATCAAAGTAAATATTTTTATGTATTAAATAAAATTTTAAAATTACATATATAATGTCGGGTTGGTTTGATCTCGGGTTGGTTTTTTTAAGTTAAAACCAAACCAATCCAAATATAGTCAGGTTTTTTTTTTTCAATACCAAACCACTAGTTGGGTTTTTTTTCCGATTTGACTTGATTTGCGGTTTGGTTCGATTTTGTACACCCCTAACCGGGATAACGCAGTTGATACTTAACAAGTCACACCCTTAAATGCTAAGCATTTGGATAATACAATTGGATGTTGAAGTTGATTGAATTTTTTTTAATATAGTAATTTAGTAGTAGGTTTTGAAAGATAAATAGTCATTTTTTCATGTCGGACTATTGAAAAGCACTGAGAAGAAAGAATCAGTGATTGACTGATAAAGATTAATTTTAAATAAATAATCAATAGCCTTGCATAGGAGAAAAAATTTACGACTGGAAATCCTTATGTTAGCGATTTCAATCGAGATTGGAGTTGATAAAGTAGAGAACTGAAAATCCTCGTGTCACCTATTCCAATCTTGATTGGAAATAGTTGGGATAGCTCAATTGATACTTATCAGGTCACACTCACGTTTGGATAATATATACTTGGATATTGTTGAAGCTGATTGAATTTATTTATTTTTAAAAATAGTAGTTTAGTAGTAGTTTTTGAAAGTTAAATTTTCATTTGAACATAAATTTTACTTGAGGAAAAAAATGAACTTATGCAAGTGAAAAATATTATTTCACTTGATATAGATTTAAATAGAAAACTTCAATATTTGTAAACAAGAAGCTGGAATAGCTCAGTTGGTTAGAGTTTGTGGCTGTTAACTACGAGGTTGGAGGTTCAAGCCTTTTTTTCTAGCGTTTTCTTTTTCAACAATTTTTTTTGGTTTTCCTCCCGGTGTTTTGTACCCACATTAGAGTCTGACTATTCGAAATTCGCACTACGTAGGGTACCATTCGGGGGGAATCACTCCTTACTAAAGGATTTTTCTATATCCAGGTTTTCCACCCGGTGTTCAGTACCTGCATTAAAGTTTTTTGTGGAAACAAATTAGCAAGTGTTGAAAAAATAAATCACTAATAGTGAAATGATTTCATAAATCACTTGTATGGTTAGTTTAAATACAATATATTTTTTAGTGTGATAACTAATGTTTAAGTAAAAAATTATTACTTAAATTTTATTGTATTTATCGCTAAAAGTTCCATTGTGTGCAACGATCGATTTGGTGTGATTGCATCGTTACCTTAATTTTTTTATTTCTCATTTTATCTTTACTTATTATTTAATTAATTAATAACTCTATTATATCCTTTAATCTACCTTTCTAAAGTAACTCTATCACGTAACCTACTTTTCTTGTAGGTTTATCCTTCAAACTGTTGATGTGATATGACATTGTATGATGATGGAGAGCGATATAATATACGCAATTATTATATTTATTAAAATAATATAATACGATACAATCAAACACAATACAAAGAAGTATAATACATTATGAAACAATATGATCTTTGTCACCACTATAAATATAGAACTTTGAGTTAAGAATCACCAAACACACTCCCAAAATGCAAATCTTTAGTCTAGTTTACATTTTCCTTTTTCTATCTTTCCTCTTTTTGCTAAGAAAATGGAAAAACTCCAATAGCCAAACAACTAAAAAATTACCTCCAGGTCCATGGAAACTTCCTTTTATAGGAAGCATGCATCACATTGTTGGTGGATATCCACATCATGTCCTTAGAGATTTGGCCAAAAAATATGGTCCTCTAATGCACCTTCAACTTGGTGAAGTTTGTGTTGTTGTTGTTACTTCTTCTGAGATGGCTAAAAATGTACTAAAAACTCATGACCTCGCTTTTGCATCTAGGCCTAAACTCTTGGTCACGGATATTATCACTTATGATAGTCGTGACATCGCCTTTAGCCCTTATGGTGAGTGTTAATTAGGCGCATTCGCCCTAATATATTTGAGTTTTACTTTTTTCTTGAAGGACAGAAGTATCTTTCCCCTTTGAGGATCCTTCTCTCTCTCTCTCTCTATCTATATATATAATATATGACATTCACAATATAATCCTTAAAGGAGTACTTGCTTACGGGGAGAATGTAAATTAACTTGAATTTTTTATAAGTAGGTTATTAATTGGACAGAATACATAAACGTGCTCTTTAACTTGACATCAATTGGTATCTATGCCCTCCAATGTTGGGTGTGATCAAGTAGACGTACTTAAACTTGTATAAAGTTGAGTAAGTAGACACACACGTCTTACATGACATAATACAAGATTTGCTTTGTTAGGTTTTGCATATGACACCTGATAAATTTTTACACTTAATTAACAGGTGACTACTGGAGACAAATGCGTAAAATTTGTGTCATGGAACTGTTGAATGCAAAGAATGTCCGGTCATTCAGTTCGATTAGACATGATGAGGTTGTTCATCTCATCGACTCTATACGATCATCTTCATCTTCTGGAGAGCCAGTTATTTTACAGAAATGATGATTTGGTTTGCAAGCTCCATGATATGTAGATCAGCATTTGGTCAATTACTAACAGAGCAAGACATATTTATAAAACTAATTAGAGAAGTGTTAAGATTAGCAGATCAAGGCTTTGATATGGCTGACATTTTCCCTTCATACAAGTTTCCTCATGGTCTTGGTGGAGTGAAGTTTGATAAATATGATGTCAAGGAGTTGAAATACCTAAAGTTAGTCGTTAAAGAAACTCTAAGACTCCATCCACCAATTCCACTTTCGGTCCCAAGAGAATGTAGGGAAGAGACGGACATAAACGGCTACACTATTCCTGTGAAGACTAAAGTTTTGATTAATGTTTGGGCATTGGGAAGAGATCCAAAATATTGGGATGACGCGGAAAGCTTTAAGCTCTGTGGACTTTAGTGGTAATAATTTTGAATTTCTTCCCTTTGGTAGTGGGAGGAGGGTTTGTCCTGGGATATCATTTGGTTTAGCTAATATTTATTTGCCATTGGCTCAATCGCTTTATCACTTCAATTGGAAACTCCCTACTGGACTTGACTGAATTGGAAAGCTTTAAGCCAGAGAGATTTGAATCGGATGGGATAACTGCCAGTAGAAAAAATGACCTCTACTTGATTGTGACTCCTTATCAACCTTAAGTGCATTTATCTTTTTATCAAATAAGAATGTATCGCGACAGTTAGCCCTCAGGGCTAGCTAGTCTGTTCAATAAATGTCTTTTCATTTTGCAATAAATAAGAGGAAATAAAAACAAATTATATTGTTCCATTCTAATAGTACCTTATAGACACGAATATTTGGATACTGCAGTGGTGGGACTGTTTCATTCTTAATTTATAACCAGAAGTCTCGGGTTCGAGCCCTGAATATGAAGAAAATCTTATTGGGAGCGTCACCCCTAAATGGGCCTCACAATGCGCGATCCAAATTTATGTTAGCTTTACAATAGTCTAAACTTACTCTAGGGAGGTGTATGATGTAAGTATATTATCAAAACAGTCATTTCATTGTTCATTACTAACCATCCTATCTAGTCTTTTTCAAATAATTTACTCATTCTTTCTGTCAGTAAACACTCCATCAATAGAATACTCTTAGTAGTCAATTAGAGAGAATTAATACCACTCCCATTTGTCCGTCTTTCTTCACTTTTTAGTCTGTTTAAAAAAGTTTTTTTTTTTCCTTTTCTGAAAAATCTATAACTTTAACTTTTCACATGACATGTTTAAGACCACAAGAATAATGACATTTTGGTACTTTTTTTTAGATATCTTTAGTTTTATTAAGATCACAAGATTCAAAAGTTCTATACGAAGTTTGAAAAAGTAATTCAAGATTGAATCTTCTGGTCTTAAACTAAATATGTGTAGAATGTATCAAAACGTTAATCTTGTGGTCTTGAACGTGCCATGTGAAAAGTTGGAATTAAAGAGTTGTCAAAAAGTGAAAGAGATATTCTTTTCTAAACGGATTAAAAAGAAAAATAAGACAAACAAATTGAAATGTAGAAAGTCCTATATAAATAGTAAAATAGATATGCATCATCTTACAAAGGGTTTAGTTGAAGTCCTAGTTAAGAAGTGCACAAAACAACTTCTAAAGAAGCTCCCTAACAACTTTATTCAACAAGATAAAAATAACAACATATGGTAGCTCATCAAATTTCGATGGAGTCCACAAGTAGGGCAACAATGTGAGGTTTTAAGACCTTCTCCGGATGTGTGTATCCATCTTCGTTGTGTTTGTAAATAACATCAATAAGACGAACAAGATTGAGAATACGCGTTAAAAACTCCATGGATACATGATTCGGCCTAAGAATTCCTTCGTTAACATCCTTCCATGCTATCTCAGCCATTTCGCGAAATTTAACCATTGCTTCTTCAGTTGATACACCATAATCTCTCCTGTAACACTCAATTCCTGTTGCAATTTGTCCCCTACTTTTCTCAACCTGGAAATGCAAATAGAATTAGCGGTTAAATTTTATATATTGCTTCAATATTGCAACACGTTGATGTTTACTCAAATATCATATCCCTTTAATTTCAACTTTCCACATGACATGTTTCATGCCAGTACAAGATTGAATTAAGAACGTTTTTAATTTGGTACATTCTGCATATCTTTAGTTTGTAACCACAAAAATTCAAAACACTTCTTTACTTTTTTAAACTCTGTGTCAATTTATATGTACCTCGTATGTGGCTATGTCATCAATAACGCGACATAATGTTGCATTAGCTTTAAGAATTTTAGGGTTCCTTGACAACCATTCGGAATCATTCTCAGTAGCAGATTTCATTCCCAAATATGATGTTGTTGTGAGCAAGTAATAAGTACTAGTTGCTAAAGCATTGCTTAGGTACTCAGAAACAGGAGGCATATATCCTTCAATAAACCATTTAGCCTCGACGTTATAGTTCCTCACTATTTCTTTCATCTACAATACCAGAAAAAATAAGTGTTAGAAAATATATAGTAATTTGAATATACATTGCTTCAATGCAAGTTTGAAGGGTTAAAAAATATGTAATTTGATCGCGTACTCTTTCTTTTGCATGATAGACAACATGAGATCTTCCATCGTTAGACAATTCATTTTCATAATCTTTGTAAAGATCAAGAAGAGCTTTATAACTGATCTTCATGTAATCAGGAAGACGATCAATTTCACTTATATCCCATCTGCAAAGTTGACGAATCTAAAGTAAATTTATGTTTTTTTATATAACGAGGAAGTAAATTTATGAAGTTCATACCTTTGTATGGCGTCTGTGTATGTGTTAAGTTCTTTAACTATACCATAAGAATCAAAGGTATCGTCAACAATAGAAATGATGGATATGGTCTTAGCAAGCATGACGCGAGCTTGAGAATATTGAGGCTCAAAATACACTCCTAATGTCCAAAAATAACATTCAACTACTCTATCTCTAGCATATGGAAGCGTTGTCACAAAATCCAATTCCTTCCACCACCTTGATACTTCAGCAAGTTCTTGTTTGTGAAGCATTTGGAGCAAGTTGAAATCCAATTTGGCAAATCTAAGTAACGCGTCGTTCTTTGATTCATCCTTCTCATAGATTGAGGATATGAAGAATCGAGTCTCTACTCGAGGAATGCCCTTGTGCAAAGATTGCTCAAGGGCATGTGTTACTTGCTCTTTAAGAGGAGAGTTCAAATGTGGCGTCGCGGACTCAAGATGAGTAGTGGAGAAAACAAGTGCATCTTCTAAGATATCTTCACCATGTGTCCTTACATGTGAAGCTTCGTATAAACTCAATAATCCTAAAACATCACTAGCAAACGACTCCTTGAAATTTCCATTCCCATCTTGAAATTTGTTGAAAATTTCTGATAATTTACGAGGAATAGCACAAATATTATTACCCTTATAGCAAAAGAATAGTAATATTACACAAGTACACAACATTATTCATGAAGTTTTAGTACTTACTAAGACAGATGTTGTAACCATGTTGCCTTAGCAATCGAAATTGAAGAGCACAAATGCATAAATCATTATACTCATCACCCTCAAATTTTGAATTTTCATTGTAAATTTGATACAAAATGTCATCGATTTCTTTCTCATAGTGGTACGCGATGCCAAGACGTTCAATAACATCAATAAAATTCAATTTCTCAACCAATTTCCTTCCAGTAATAGCTAACAACATACTCCTTGTTTCTTCCTTCAATGCTTCAATCTCTTGAGCATACTTTTGTGCAACCTATAAATATATTCATATCAAACAACATATTTTTCGTCTAATTAAAACAAAAAGAATTTAATAGGAACTATGAATAAAATACTTACGCGATTATCAATGGAGAAGGAAAGGAAACGATCACCCCATAGACTTGGAGAGAAGTTGGCCACAGGGCGAATTATCTTCTCTTCTTCAACTATAGCCAAGGTCATTTTTGCAACAAAGAATAAGAGTGATTTTGATTATACTAAGGAAGAATGAAAGAAACTTTCAAGTTGATGACATAAATGGTAAGCAATGGACAACTATTTATAGTGGTAAGAGGCACATAACAAAAAATGCACATAAAAGCAATTGTTGAAAAGTACTACATTTCCAATTGGATGAATAAATTACATGCATATTAAAAGTGTAGAGTAAATGATATTTTGATATAATTTTCTTAGGGGTAGACATAAACATTGAAAAAATGAAAATTTGAATCTAACTAAACAAATTCGACATTTCAATTTGATTTTTAAAAAATTTTGATATTCGATTTGATTCTCAGTTATAGGATTGGATTCTTCGATTCTTACTTTTATGCATCTTTAGTGTAAATTTTTACATCATAGAGGTTACATCCACTTACATTAATAGATATCGATTATCATAATATGAAAAATAAAAGAATATTTATTCTATTTATATAAGAAGAGACAGTTGAGGTGCTTCACCTCTCTGTTTCATCGTCATGCTTACTTGTCATCACAAAGGCAATTTTAAGTATCAAAGCAGGCATCAAATCAACATGTCTTTTAGTATAGTAATTTTTATGTGGTTTTTTTTATTTTAATTTATATGTTTTATCATGTTAGTCTTTTAAGTATTTAAAAATTACATAAAAAAATATTATAAATAGTGACAGTAGTAACAATTACGTACAATAAGTAGTAACTTAGAATATCTAAAAATTATATTAAAAATCTAATATACTTTCCAAATCGTGTACTTCCTCTGCCTCAATTTATATGACATTTTTCGTTTTTCGAGAGTCAAATAGTTTAAGATTGATCGAAAATTTGTGTATGGAATCTTCAATTTTTTTGAAATAAAATTTATATATTTGTAAATTACGTAAAAAGTATTAAAAGTCACAATAATTGACAATTCAAAATGTTTTAAAAAATCTATGAAAAACTTACGATCAAAGATAGACTTGTTTGAATCTCGAAATCTAAAAAGTGTCACATAAAATGAGACGAAGGGAGTAATATATATTAAATCCGTGTTAGTGCGGAGTTCTGAATCTAATTTTACAAATATGTCCTTGTATAAAATCAAGTGAGGCAACTAGGAAAAGGTTACAAAAATATGAAAGTACTGTCGGCAGTGGCGGAGCCACCCTATTATTATGAGGGGGTCATCCGACCCTTCAGTGGAAAATTATATGGTTTATACATGGTTAAAATAATTTTTTAGGTATATATAGTAGATGTCGAACCCCCTTCGGCTACTTCGTGAGTCTATTTTTTTAGATTTTGAACCCCCTTATTGAAAATTCTGGCTCCGCCACTGACTGTCGGTGTTCTTTTATCCTTGTATTATTGGAGAATTTTCAAAAGTTTTTTTTTGTGTTGAAAAATCAAATCAAAATGTAATTTATTCACATATTTTTAACATTTAGCGATATATATTCATTCTAAGTTTATTTCTTATGAAAATTTAAGATCGAAAATTTTAAAATGATAAAATTCAAATTTTTTTTCTTTATTTCATAAATTATATTTTCAGTACATATAAAATGTTACAAAGGGAATATGATTTTAAGAATATCAAAAAATTGGTTGCGTCTCTCACCTTATGGCTCACAATGTAGGTCATTTATTTTATTTTTAAATAGTTTTATGGCCTTTTTCTTTAATAAGAGATTCTCTTCGATTTTCAAAACATTTTCAAAAATATTTTATTTTTTACAAAAAAAACAAAACTTACATTATGATAGGGTAAAAAACAAAGATTTCATAAGGGACATTTCACACCTGATTAAAGGAGAGACAATTTCATCCACAATGTCTGACGGTAACTTCTTACTTTCTATTATTAGAAATAAAATTTCAAAAAAAATAATTGTATGAATAAATTAGTAGAAGACTTTAATCGACCAAATCGCTCAAGTAATAATTAATGAATTTTATTATTGACTAGGACGAATGATGATGATTGATGATTATCAAAACATGGACAAGGAAGCTAGATTTTCGGATCGCGCAAGTGTCTAAATAAAGAAGTGTATCAACTTTAAGTGTTTCATATTCAGCCATTTTAAAATGTACAAAAGAGAAGGGGAAAATACCTTCTTTTTTTAAAAAAAAACAAATATTATTTGGTTATACATAATATTGATTTTTATGTTTGTTTTTTAAGATGAATTTTTTACTCTCATAATTTTATTTTATTTTATTTTTCTAGTAAAATATATGTTCAAACACACCGAGTTAAATCAAGCGACTAGATAGAAGGGCCCTCCTTACCAAAATATAGTACTGAATTTCTAGCCTTTCATCTCAATTCTCAATCATTTTCTGAATTATACCTATCCTCACAACAACTATTAATTTGTCGAGACATACAAATTAAATTTTAGTGGTTTAGATATTATTATAAAATATATACTCCTTATGATCATGATATGCACATTTTAAATGTTTTATTGCTTGACGAATTGAAGACCTTTTATCAAGATTAACTGTTAAATTTGTAATTGAATTTCAGAGATAACGATTTATGAAGAAATATCTATCTTCTTAAAAGAAAATTAGTAATTAAAAAATCGATTCTTAAACTTTGACCTAGAATAAGGAATTACGATCAGAAGGAAAATTGACTTGTGACCTCGATTTTATGGGTTCTGAACTTTTAGAACGATTATTTTTTTTAAGTGCTAATAATTGGATTTTAAAGTTATTGTGTACAAATTAATGTTGATTTTTTCATCACCATATGGCTCACAATGTAGGTCATTGATTAAAAAAAAATAGTTTTATGGCCTTTTTCTTTAATAAGAGATTCTCTTCGATTTTCAAAATATTTTCGAAAATATTTTTAAAAAAAAACAAAAATTACATTATGATAGGGTAAAAAAACAAAGATTTCATAAGGGACATTTCACACCTAATTAAAGGAGAGACAATTTCATCCACAATGTCTGACGGTAACTTCTTACCTTCTATTATTAGAGAAGAATTTTCGAAAAAAATAATTGTACAAATAAATTAGTAGAAGACTTTATTCGACCAAATCGCTCAAGTAATAATTAATGAATTTTATTATTGACTAGGACGAATGATGATGATTGATGATTATCAAAACATGGACAAGGAAGCTAGATTTTCGGATCACGCAAATGTCTAAATAAAGAATTGTATCAACTTTAAGTGTTTCATATTTAGCGATTTTAAAATGTACAAAAAAGAAGGGGAAAATACCTTCTTTTAAAAAAAAAAACAAATATTATTTGGTTATACATAATATTGATTTTTATGTTTGTTTTTTAAGATGAATTTTTTACTCTCATAATTTTATTTTATTTTATTTTTCTAGTAAAATATATGTTCAAACAAGTTAAATCAAGCGACTAGATAGAAGGGCCCTCCTTACCAAAATATAGTACTGAATTTCTAGCCTTTCATCTCAATTCTCAATCATTTTCTGAATTATACCTACCCTCACAACAACTATTAATTTGTCGAGACATACAAATTAAATTTTAGTGGTTTAGATATTATTATAAAATATATACTCCTTATGATCATGATATGCACATTTTAAATGTTTTATTGCTTGACGAATTGAAGACCTTTAATCAACTTCAAGTGTTAAATTTGTGATTGAATTTCAGAAATAACCATTCATGAAGAAATATCTATTTTCTTAAAAGAAAATTAGTAATTAGAAAATCGATTCTGAAACTTTGACCTAGAATAAGGAATTATGATCAGAAGGAAAATTGACATGTGACCTCGATTTTGTGGGTTCTGTTTAAGTGCTAATAATTGGATTTTAAAGTTATTATGTATAAATTAATATTGATTTTTTCAACACAGATGCACTACGTGAGCAGAAGTTAATCAATTTGACCGAACTCAGATAGTCGGGCTTCTACCTCCGTCACTAGGTGGTTAAATCTGGTGGAATGAGTTTACTAGTCCGGTGGTGCCCATCGATGAAGGTAGCACCACAAAAACATTGATGTGTGTAAATATGCAGGGGCGAATTTATTGGGAAGATTTATGAAATACGCGAACTCGTGATCTCTTCATAAATTAGATATTTTATATAGTTATTTTGTTAATTATTTAGTATTAATTGTCGGCACCATGCTTCAAGAAGAATTGGTTTTGACAATCTAAAAGAACAAAAAATGTTTGAAAACTACATTTAATAGATCATTTTGAACCTATGAAAAACATAAGGGATCACTTTTTCATTTTTCTAGTCGGTTGGTCAAAAAAAATATTTCGTAAATTATTTTTTTTAAGAAAATAAGTTTTTTTAGAAATGAGAAAAATGACTTTTTCAGCGGTCAAAATTGAAAAAATAAGTTTCTTAACTGATATTCAACATTGATTGACGTGCTCCTTCTCACACTCCAACCCATCAGTACATCTTCACAACAACTTAGTAGCCCCCCCACCCAACAATCAGTACATCTTCACCTCAAACTAGTAGCCCCCCCCCCCCATGCATCCTCACCACCTGACACTCCCTATCCCCACCTCCCCACAATATTTATATTTAGATTATAATACACGAATACTTTTATGATATTGCCCGTAAAATGGTTTCTTATTATTTCACTAAGAATTGTTCCTTTTTTATTACTCGTGAATTTAAAATATATAACATGTTAGATAGTTACGATTTCTATCAGATTGTGAATTAGTATTTATCAAAGGATTACATGCAATTACCTACATAGGATTTGACTGTATCGATGCATAAAACTTAAACTAAAAAACAGATTTCGAGGAAATTCTTCTAATCCTTCAATTTAAAATGAACAATATATAAGAAATGGCATAAAATTAAAAAGAACTTGTAATATATTATTTCTTACAAGGTTTTAAAAGAGGTCCTATACTCTGCGCAATAACAACTTTAAACAACATATAAACAAACAAATAAAACAAGACAAGGAACAATTGGCAATTTGTAATTCATGAATGGAGTC